TTCCCTTTACACCACAGCAAATCTCCAAACAGCTAACTGGGACTTTCACAAAAGACAAAAAGTTTTGGAATTTTCCCTTTTCTTAGGGATAAAAATGAATCACTGCTTTTAGTGGCATTCCGAGTACATGCACCACTATGAGGTACAGTGCTCAACAAATTTAACTAGAGAATGTTTGCTTAGTTTGAGTTCTGCTTTTCTTTAACTTTAAAAAAAAAAAAAAAAAAAAAACTTCATTTCCACGAACTGAGAAGCTGGGAACTGCTATTTCTGATTTGTAAGTCTTTTGATGGATTTAGGAGTTCCCATTGAAACTATTATTTGCTTCTTTTGTTGTTGTTGTTGTTGTTGTTGTTGTTTGTAGTACCGGAGATCAAACTCAGGATCCTGCACTTGCCAGGCAGGTACTTAGGCCACTGAACTCTCTCCCCAGCCAACTGAGCTATCTCCCCAGCTGAAACTTTTGTAATTTAACATTTGCCAATAACTGGAGTTACAGAGGTATATAGGCCATGATTTATAAGAGTGGTGGAAAGTGATTGAGAGCTTGGATATGAACAAAATAAGTAATAAACACAAGTGGAAACATCACAATAACACCCCATAAAAAAGCACAGCTGAGTGGAAAGTAGAAGTCATTATAGAAAGCTCATAAATGTCAGATAAGAGAAGTAGTATTACATTAATCAACACTAGACTGCTTTCTAGTGTCCTTTGGCCCTATTTTTAAATTTAATCCCAAAATATTTCTTAGTGGTTATCTTAGCCAACATTGAATTGAAAACTGAGGTAGAATAGACTTTGTTGGCCAAAATAGCTGAGTCAGTCCTGTTATATTAGTTTCATTATTTTATGGTAAAAACAAACTCTGAGAGAAAACTGCCCTAACAGTTCTGTAGAAAATACAAAACCCAAAAGCCTTTGTTGAACCAAGGTACTTCATTTTTAGTTAACTGTGGAAAACATCAAGTTAATCAAATGATTTCTTACACAAGCTGCAAAACAGGTAGATGTGACTGCAGCTTGTAAAGATTCTGCTCAGATTTTAAGGTCTTTTAAGCAGATTTTTTTTTTAATGGCACTGGGAATTGAACCAGACCTTTCATATTGAGCTACATCATCAGCACTTTTTACTTAGATACAGATTCTCCACAAGTTGCTCAGGTTAGGCAAAACTTGAGAATGGGAGCACAGCTGTGGGCCTCCGTGCCTGGCTTATTCAAGCACCTTTCTTTGTGTCCCAGGTGCTAATCATGGCCCAGCTGGGTGACACAGGCAGAATGGCCAGAGCATCCGCTGAGCGGCCAAGCAGATGTGCCATGGGGGTCACCTCATTATTTCTGAAGAGCTAAACTGGTGCCAGGACAGCCATTATTTCAGTAAATCTGTCAGGACTGTAAATAATGAGGTTGATTTCTAGGGGAAAAAATTATTATTTACTTTTCAATACAATAAGTACTCAACAGTTTATCTTTAACTATACATTTTGGAAATGATTTGTATTTTCCCAATTGGGTTAAGTTAGAATTCCCTATAAATAAATAACTATGGAATATCCACATAGTTATTGAGAATGTTTTCTCAAACCTAAGGTAAATACCAGGAGAAACACAGTACTAACCGGGAGCTTTTTTTTTTTTTTTTTTAACAGTTTCTAAACTAGACCAAAAGGGTAAAATGCACACGACCTTGATCCAATTGCAAGTACCAACACAGCAACACAGACCCGTGAGCACATCCCCGAAGTGAGAAGCTGCAGCGTAATGAGATGCCTTCCATCAAAATGCCCATTTTATCTAAAGTGTAAAAATAATAAAAAGAATTGCTTGGAAATACTGCTCATCTTTAGCCATTAAATGTGCTTAGCTTTGACTTCTGCCTCCTAACAGCTGAACACGACAGCAATTTTCCATAACAACATGCATCTCAGATGATTCATGGCTGAATTCAAGCATATATTCTTTTTACTATAATAAAAGAAATAGAAGTAAGTCTGCCTGCTGAGAAACACTGATGATCCAACCGTGATAACAAGGGAGAAGCACGTATATGGATGTGCCATTTGGGGAGGGCTTGCCGAGGAATACTGCTTCCTGCAACTTTTAAAAACTGGACATAACTGCCAAAGAGAGTTTAAGCTCATCTCATGTAATATGTGAATGTAATTACCTCTCCTTATGCGTAGGGGAACTTAGTAGAGGACACCAGTACCTTACTTTTTACATTATTTAGCATATATACATGTGGTTATACTGAGTTAAATAGTGTCCATCTAGAATCTGTGAGTGAGACTTTCCTTGGAAAGAGAATCTGCAAAAAATCAGGCTGCATTAGTATGGGTTTCAATCCAATGACTGGTGTCCTCATAAGAAAAAGGACATTTGGACAGACACACAGAGGGAAAAGAAGGCCAGGTGGAGACCCAGGCAGAGAATGGAGTGATGCCAAGACGGCTGCTAAAAGTTGAGGACAGATTCATGAGGTTGCTTTTCCCTAGAGCTGTTAGGCAGAGGAGTCTGGTCATGCAAACACACAGATTCAAACTGTAGCCTCCAGAAGTATGGAAGACTAAAGTTCCATTTTTATAAGTAACTCAATCCATGAAATTGTATTGCAAGACTAGGCATAGTGGCGCATACCTGTAACCCCAGCACCAGGAATGCTGAAAACAGGAGGATCACTACGAGTCTGAGCTGCGTAGTGAGACCCTGTACCAAACACATTTTTAAAAAAGTATTACAATAACCTCAGGAAACCAATCAAGTTTTTATTCTGACCTTCAAATTAATTATACAAATACTGATCCTACACAAATATGGCTAGAAAGCTGCCCATTTCTCTTTTCTCAAATTGAAATAAAAAAGTTTATTACAGGAACACAGAATTTTAGGAACACATAATACTCAAAGACATCAACTTTTATTTTTTCTGAAGTGTCTAACCATATGTCTGTCCTTCTGTGAAGCCCAAAAGTAATATTTAGTATATACTCTTAAAATAATACTTAATGAACAAAATACTGAGAAAGATGATACTTTTCAGGTAGTCTGTCAAAATAATAGTCTCAACACACCTAGGAAAAAATGAAGATGAAGAAACAAAGTCAAACTATTTTGGAATATAGAAGCCAAGTATTAAAGGCCTCAAATCAGGTTACAACACATAAATGACTTTTCCGAAGAACACTTGTTGAAAAATGGTCAATGAGTTGGTTAATTTCTAATTAAAAGCATATTAAAGATTATCAATGATTATGCCTGTTGAGTCTCAGCAGTTAGGTTCTTTTTTTTTCATAATTTTATTGAGAAACAAATAGCAATGAGAGAGTTTCAAATCAAATTGGTAGGACAGTTTCAATAATTAACACACTGTATACATTCTTCCTGCTG